TTTTTAATGTGACTACTTACATTACATTCTAGTTGTTACTTTGAACTTTTCTTATTCCTTGCTTTACTCAAAAGGTTAAATTAATCAAACTTTAAAAAAAAGTATTATTGGATTCAAAAACAAAAAATATATTTCTACGTAATAGCTTCTGGATTCTGGCATTTAATTCTTCGATACAATATCTCCTAGCACTGATTTAACAAGTCATTATTTGGAAATTATTTTTTAAAAGTTTTTGAAGTAGATTTACTTTTTAAGGTTTACTTTGTAACAAAATAATATTTTTTTACATTTTAGTACTACGAGTATCGCGTGCTGTTAGTATAGATGTAGTGCGTTTAGAGATTCAGAAATACGGATTTGTATGCATATAATATGTACGTACGTACATTGCGCGTTGTAATAGCTTTTTTTTAAATCGGTGTCCAATGTTTATCTGTATACTTTTATTGTATAAGTTTTAATATCGCAGTCACACCGATACCTTACGGTAATATGAATCCGGGCAGTAAATCGTAGATATAACGTAACGAAACGAGAACGGGGAGGCGCGATGGCGGAATTAATATCGTATGATGAATGATGAACGATGACAATGCAATTTTAAATTTTTACGTTCATCTCCCGCGGAAAATGTGTCCCGATCTAAAATGAGCAAGAGACATAGTTTATTGTTTTTTCTTTTTATAAACACTCATGCTTATTAGTAATAATCAAAAGTTTTAGAGTAAGTAGCATACATATTAAATAAACACTCACGCTTGTCACCCAGAAGAGTAGGCAGAGACTAAGGACTTCCATTTGCCACCATCCTAACACGCCTTTTACCTACTTTATGTCCATATACCTACGCATAAATTTAAAGTAGTACTAATTTAAAAAAAGACTATCTTTTCCAATTTATGTTGTTTAATCATCCGTATGTGTTCTATTACTCAGCTTTTTTAAACTTATGCTCAATATGAATGTGTAGAATACTAATAATTTTTCCTGAAAAATGCGTATAACTACACGTATTTTTGCTTCTTTATTCTATTGTGTTTATTCTCATTATCTTTCCAGTTCAGAATGAAGCAACTTAACAATTAGTCTATTTTTCACTTTTATTTATATCATTACCTACAATCTAGCATTTATGTGCCATTGTTTCACAATTTATCCTTTAAATGTTCTCCAGTCTTTTGAACACGGTGCACGGTGGGTTTCTATCCTTTCGTTGTGGATATGTCTATGCTTTAAGCAAAGGATGCGAATAATTTGCCCGCTTCTGTCTTTCTGTCAAACTACAACTTAGGTATTTTCAAAAGAATAGTAAATAGATATATTTATCAGCTAATTCAACATAGGTATGTATATTATTTTATAATTCTACATATTAAAAAAAGTTGTGGGCGCAGGCCATAAATTATTTAAAAAAGTGATTTAAATATTTTTTTAGCCTCCCAGAAATTTATAGAAATTAGTTAAACTATATTATATTTAATAGGTATAATGATTTTTTAATCAAATGAATGAGAATGTTGCAGTTTGTTAAGTGAAAGAAAAGCTTTTCGCAAGGGATTCTGCCAGGACGTGTTATGTTAACCCCTTTATTCAGTTAGTTGATATAAAAAGATTTGGCGGCAGACAGTAAGGGCACCACGCACGACACGCTAAACTGTACCGGGATAATCCTGCTTTAAGCAAACATCCGTCCGCAAAGCCCCGACGAACTGGGCGCACACGTGAACTATGCTAACAAAAAGGCGATAAAACCTTTATCTTATTACGGGTCCTCCTCCTCCTAAAACTGGCCACTGAAATGGAGCTTTGCTCAACTTCCGGATCCTTTTTATTTGTACGCCTCTTGGCCTTTTTTATTTAACAGGTAACAAACAAGAGTATACGTAAAGTATATAGAGTAAAAGTAAAGGCAGCGAGCGAGGCACGGGACTTACGGTGCAAAAGATACTTCATTGACACTTTCCGTTGTCGGATCGTAAAGAATGATCCGACGTCTCAGGCGATGCCATTACTCCTCGTGCCGCATGAAAAATTCATATAACAGCCGTTAGATCGCGTTAACGCGTTGTGACGCCGCGCGCGCACTCCTCTAGGGGGCGCTAAGGACGGCTTATGGCACTCGGATATATCGTATACATGTCTCGGTTGTGCTTGATATTTGGTTTGTTTCCTTTTTATCTGACGATGCAGGTTTAAAATAACGAACGTTTAAACTTTAATCTTTCGTTATTTTGCACTGTGCTTTTGAGTCTCAATGTTGAGTTTTAAGGCTTTTAGGTATCTTGAAGTATCTTTATGTAATATCAAAATAACTTTGTTTTATCCGACTCGGGTTGCTATTTCCATGCCATTAAGACTTGAATACCTATTTGGGAGCCGTGATAACTCAGATGGTTAACGCTGGCTGTAAATATAACAGAACGCGAGTAACCCGGGTTCGATGCAATTTTAAGTGCTGATTTACCACAGGCTCGGCGGTGAAGGAAAACATCGTGAGGAAACCTGCATGTCTGAGGAATAAGGAAAAAAATTTCGAAGACATGTGAAATTCGCAAACACGCATTGGGGCAGCGTGGCGGACACTTCCTTGCTCTAAAACTCTCTCATAAATGATAGAGGCCTGTGCCCAGCAGTGGGACGTATATAGGCTGTAACTTTACTTTACTTTATCTATTTGTATAATTTCTGTCTGTTTGTTCGGGCTAAACTTCTGAATGGCATGAAGAATGCAACCGCAGCCAGAATGGAAGCATGAGTAGAACCGTATTTTAGAACAGACATTGTTCCGAAACAATTCCCCTTTTATGCCATTGCATATACTCCTGTTCACTCTCAAGTGAACACACGTTTCATCTCCTGTAACTGTCCTATCAAAATGTTGGTTGTTCACCACACAGCCTAAAAACTCCAAACAACAGTCAACCCGCGCCTGCTTTTTTGAAGCGCAGCGCAGTGAGTATTCTTCTTGCATTGACTTTTGTGAAGTTGAGATTGTTGTGCAATATGGTGTATGGTACCAATGGATAAGTTAGTCATTTCTGTTAACATCTCGGCTTCTCGGCTTCGGAAAAGTTCTTACTCGTGCATATTTTAATATTATTGCTCTTGCCACTTTTGAATTCAGTTTACCTTCTTAGTTGAATTGAAGGAGAAAGTCGGTAAATTTTATGGATATGAGTTGTGGAATTTTGGGGATATGTAACTACCGCCGCCCATAATCAAACGCAACACCCGGGAAATCGCAGGTGCGTTGCCGGCCCTTTAGAAAGGAGTAAGTTCTTTTCTTGAAGGTCCGTAGGTCGTATCGGTTTGTAAAAATCGCCGGTGGTAAACTATTCCGCAGAGAGATCGTACGCGGAAGAAAACTCCTTGTGAAACGTATAGTGGTGAACCACCAAGCATCCAGATGGTGTGGATGGTATCGGGACGTTTGCCGCGTAGTGCGTCCACGATATTTGGCGGCTGGGATTAATCCGAACAATTCCTTAGAGCACTCCCCGTGGTATATGCGAAAGAAAATGCAAAGAGATGCAACATCTCTTCGCAGCGCCAGTGAATCTAGCCGATCGGAAAGCACTCGGTCGTCGACGATTCGTGCCGCTCTGCGCTGGATGCGGTCAAGTGGAAAGAGCTGGTACTGGAGAGCTCCAGCCCAGAGATGGGAACAGTATTCCATGTGCGGCCGAACTTGCGCCTTGTAAAGTTGCAGGCGGTGTGCCGGCATGAAATACTGTCCCGCTCTGCTGAGCACGCCAAGCTTTTTAGAGGCCAATTTGGCCTTCTCTTCCAAGTGACCACGAAACTGTACGTCACTCGATATGTCGACGCCGAGGATTCCGATACTGGCTGAGGCAACAAGGGGAGTGCCTTGAAACTGAGGCGATACGACAAAGGGATTCTTTTTAGCGATTAACGCGCAAACTTAGCGCGCAAAATTAGTCGCCCCCAATCCGAGACTCTGTTCAGCGAAGACTCGACTTCAGAGACAAGTTTTTCCCGGTACTCGGAGTCCGAGAAATATTGACACGGCCGGTGTACTGAGCATCACCAGTACTGTCATCTGCATAGCAATGAATGTTGCGGGTTTGCTTGATATGCAGAAGAAACAGCGTTGGCGATAGCACGCAGCCTTGTGGTACACCAGCATTAATAGGCTTGTAATCGGAGCTTGCACCGTCTGCAACGACCTTGATGCTCCGATCTGCAAGAAAGCTGGTGATCCAATTGCACAATTTGTCGAGAAGCCCATAGGAAGGGTGCTTCGAAAGAAAAGCTTTGTGCCAAACCCGATTGAGGGCTTTCGCAATGTCCAAACTAACGGCCAATGCCTCCCCCTCCGACTCTACTGCTTCCGCCCATCTATGAGTTAGGTAGACCAGAAGATCACCAGCTGATCGACCACGGCAGCAGGTGATCCTGACGCCTGGGGAGTAGAAGTACCGGCAAAGACGCGTTAAAACCGCTGCCAACTCTGGAGCACACGTCCTCAGCACAATTGGGGGTTTCCGTCAGGCCCACTTGACTTGTGGATGTCTAGGGAGAGGAGTGCTTTGCGAACCGAGCGCTGTGTGAACTGCACTTCCGGCATGTGTAGCACTCACACCGTGGGATGGTCCGCGGCGTACCTCCCTCCGTCACCGAGAGTCGAGTTGGACCCAAAGAAAGAGCCTAGCAAATCAGCTTTCTCCTTTGCGGTATGGGCCAGTGAGTCGTCCTCCCTGTGCATGCACATTGTCGAGTGAGTCATTCAGTCAATCAGAATTAGTGAAGTTATCAAGCCAAATTTTATATTTATACGCTTTAGGTAGTGTCGTTAGCTAATGATTTTTTTAACTACCCACATTACTAGTAAATCACCCTAATACCGAGAATACATTGAACCTCTCGCAGTATCATTGTGCTGCTAGATATAGCTCAAAATTGTATTATTTGCGAGGGTGTAGAATATATTGAGGTAAATTCTTGGACTGATTAATAATTTAAGATGTTTGTTTCAGTGGATTTACTACAAATGCTCGAGTTCAACGTAACGGTGTCATTTCCTGCTGCGCCACTGCTCACCGTTATACTAGCTTTGGTCGGTAAGTATGCAGCAGTCACATTAGTAATAACGAGTCAGGCAGTGGATTGTGTATCGAAATACCATCATCTTGGTTACACCGTTCATATCCGGGCTAATGGTGATTTTCACAATATTAATGTGGTAATTTCTTTAAGATTGCACTCATTTTAAATGTTCAGTGCATTCACATATAGAGAGAATAGAATAATCTATATAACGTGAAGGGGAAAACTTTGTAATCCTTTTTTAGCATATTGTTCGCACGGAGGAAGGAGTGTGAGATTAGGCATAGTTTACGTTTTTATGGGGAAGGAGTGTAAGAAAACAAAAATTTATATATAATATTATCTGTTACAAATACATAAAATAAAACTTTCACTAATAATTGATAGAATAAGACGTTACTTAGCGGAAAACTATTACTTTAAGATGTTACCATCTTTAAAACATTCAATGTTTACGTTCATACTGTTAATGTCAAATACATAATAATAGTCTGTAGTCAAACAGTCGCACGTAGTGAGTGTGTTGCCAACAAATAATTACTGACAAATTGACTGAATGAACTGTGAATTTTGTGTAATTTCTAATGTTCCTTTGTTTTGCAATAAATGTTTATTTTATATATGTATATCAAATACCTTTGTTTTATAAATCGCTGTTCAGTTGAAAGTGAAATACAGCTTGCCTAAAATAAAAATTTTATGAATTACGTTTGTATTGTGATCACATAGCGACTACAAGTAATAATAAATACGCTAATATATTGCTTAAATATACAAGTATTTTATAAGTATGTTTTATCTTGTCTAAATACTGAAGTTACAAACGATGAAACGAACTTACAGCAAACTTTATACAATGAAGGCAACCCCTGCCTAATATTAACTGACTGAAATTAAATGGCTCACAGCCTGTTATTATACTGGCTCTCTGTACTCTTTAGGCTACAACACAGCAATGCAAGCATACCTATTTGGCGACGGAAGTAGATAAGGTAGTAGTACTTACACAAACGGAATCCTAGACAGGAACGGCGCCCTATCACCTGGTAAATAGCACAAATTAAGCAGTCAACCGTACTGGATTCTATACAATCTCGCAGTAGCAGTTTTAATCCCGTATTATATAAATAAATAATATTGTAATAAATATGATTGTATTAATTTGCGCGCGTGTAAGTGTGCGTGTGCGTGTGCGTGTGCGTGCGCGTGTGCGTGCGTACGTGCGTGCGTGCGTGCGTATTTTTGTGAGTAACAGAGCCCTTTGAATGAAAAAAAAACATTCAAAGAACTATACAGTTCTCTGGTTTCGACACATTCAAGATTCTTCGTACGCTAAGTCTAAATGCACAACTCTCAAACACGCCCCTCAGGTTCTTAGTATAAAAGAGCTCTCAAGAGCCCCAAGGATTTCGCAGTCGCATTGACACGATCCGTGTAATGCTATCCATTTGACTTTGGCATCACATACACGTTAGTGCTTCGAGTATTTATGATTAAATTATTTTTTAATCATTTAAGATATTACTTATTGTATAGGCAATAATATATTTGTGCATTTCTCACTTTGTATCGTATCTCGTAGTACAGCTGTTTTAACCCCTTTTATCCCGTACGTATAGTTACGGCACGTTTAGATTATCGATCGAACAACCACGACGCGTTTACATATTCACCTGTATTTATTCATCGTAGATCTTTTAAACACAGATGACGTGCGTCTCGTTGCTACGACTTTATGTCTACTTAATATTCATAGACATTTATTTTGTATTAATATTTATTTATTTTGTACGTGGCAGAGCCACATTGCAGCTGCAAGACCCATTCGAGCTACAACCATATTATGGTTGTAGCTCGAATGGGTAATATGTAGATTTGTGGGGTCACTTAACATCAGGTGGGCTGTATGCTCATTTGTAACTCTTACTCTATAAAAAAAAACACCATCATAAAGTTCTATAAATTTTATAGTGTATTCGTTACTGCAATCCATTATAGTAGGTAGGTATTTTTTTTAAATTAATTTATAAGAAAAATAATAACCACCTGCGACGAAGTTCACGGGTCAAGTGAATAATGACGAGTATGTAAACACCGATACGAATACACGAGCATTCCTTTGACTCGTGATAAAAACCGACTTCGACATAGACATACACATAGGTTTCATACATACTTACATAGGTAGGACATAGGTCATAGGGTAGTTTCACATCGAGTGGAGAACAGGCGGGTACTCGGCCCGAGTAGCGATAACACCCGAACAAGGCGTTTACATATTCGTATTCGTGGCCTACTCGTCTGTGGGTGGCGAGTACCTAAACTGCAACGTTTAAGAGGCGACAGAGGGAGAAACCGATACAGGGAATATCAATCTTCGGGGTATCAATTCATTAATAAAAAAAAATTGCGGTTGTCAACCCACCTTCGAAGCATGGCAACTACTGCAAATGTCCCCACTCATTACATGCAATTTATGGATGAAGTCTTACGTTCAGTAGTGGTTAATATTTTTTGATTATATTCTGTCTTATTTGATTAATGAATCTTTAGATTGTCTTACGGTATTGCAAAAAAGGCCTACTGTAGGTATTACTTCAAAAAATAAACTGTGTTATGCAATAATTTACCATCCATCGTCATTACACTTTCGATCACGTGAAGTCGTAGTAAGAAGCGCGCCCTAGTTTTTGGCCCTCTTACCACTTTGTGCTCGTTTGTCATTGTTAATTGTATTAAAATAAACATAAAAATGTCCACCGATTCCTTCTTTTTTTACAAAAAGTTTACTTTAGACAAAAGTATTTGTAAAATTATATATACGTTATATTATTTCAGAGTTTGAGACCAACGTCTCGATTCCATTGCAACAGTTTGACCCACTTTGGCCGCCAAAAACGTTTCAAATGTTACTCCACTTCGTAGTTTGTTGGTCTTATGTGGTGATATTTATCTCTATGGCGATAATTTGGCGCGTCTAGTGTCTTCATTGAAACGTTAGTAGGTCGGTCGATTCAACAAGTAAGTCGGGTGCGGCGCCTGTTGCTCGCTGTAGGGAAGTGGGGTATACGTAGGTGAGGGGGAGGGGTGCCTGTTGCGCCTGGTAGACGCCGACGCCCACTCTACCAGCTCCTTGTGCTCATGTACTACAAATACTTTCGACTCATATAAAATTTGCCCGCTTCACTCACTTCGGCACTTTTTGGTTAATTTTATATTGAAAGTCCAAAATGTTTTTATAAAACTATACACATAGCTTAGTTTTGTTCCAGTTTTAGTGCTTTTTAAATTTTTATTATCTTCGTAATTAGAGACGCTTTATGGTAATTGTGTGATCATCACCATCATTAATAGCTTGTAAGCATTTCTCTGCTTGACACGTGCCTCTTCCAAATTGGGAATTATTTGCAACTATCATCAGTATTGTGGGCTAGGACTATTTGAGTGTTAAGGCACTAGAGGTTTTCTCCTTTTATGCAGTCAGGGCACTTTAGCTCGTCATAAGAGTTTGGAGTTTTCCCCTTAAATCCCTGAAAAGTTGAACAATTGTATGGGTTATTTAAAAAATATAGACAAGTTTGATATGTATCGTATTTGGATATGCGTATGCAAGACCATATTAAAGGTATATTTCTCGATAAAAAAACAATAAAATCTATGAAGTCATTTCGGAGATTTTGTGTTGTGTACATAAAATCAAGTGTTTAAGTCAAACTAATAACCCTTTTTTGAAGTCGGTTAAAATTATAACAATTTAGAACTAAAATTCAACAGCCGCAAGTGATCTTTTTTGTAAAAAGTCATTTTATTTGTAGAATAAATTGTACTGTTGCAGCAAAAAAGGATTGTTAGAGTTTTTATTAGTAGTAATACATTGTATAGAGTTCACATTTTGCGAGTATTTTTGTATTTTATTTATTCTTACAATACTAATAGCTTGTTATTTTCCATAAAATCAAATATTTTGTGACGTAAATCGAAGCACGTAGGTGTTTGCTACCCACTACCCATCTAATTTATGTCTCAACAAAATTGGAAGCGCTAATGGTTTGACTTTTAGACATATTATTATTCGATACATCCGAGCTCCTTATGCTTGTTGCCTTACAAGGAGCTTTTCTCTATTGTTGCTATCATTATTTTTCGCCCAATATTTTTTGAATTGTTGTAAAACTCCCAATTTTTTTCCTTTACTTTTTTAAAAGTAAAAGGTATTATTGCGTTGTATTTCTTAAAAATATTCCAATTTTTTTTCATATAAGTGTCACCTTAAAGTACAAGGGCTCTCAAGTATATTTGATTCTTGTTCTATATCCTATACGGCTCCAACGATTTTCATTAAATTTTGTGTCTAGGGAGTTTCGGGGACAATAAATCGATCTACCTAGGTTAGTAGAAAATATTGTTTTGTCCGTGTTTTCAGGCAATGAAAAACTGCTACAATATAAGAAGGTAAATTTTGACACTGTGTTAATGATTGTAATAGCTCAAGTGGATATAAAACGGTCGCGAAATCGTAATGCCTTGGTTCGCGTTCTGCCTTCGGTCCGATTTTTTTTCCTTTTTTTTCAAGTTCCCTTCTTTTGTGAGAATTATTATTTCGAGCCCTTTTTTAATATTTTTTAAAAATACGAAAATTTTAATAAAACTAATTACACTTATGATTTTTTATTCAAATAACCAGTTCAGTTTTTTCCATTATGTCAATAAAATCAAAAAATATTATTCATCAGTATGTAATTTGTATCTACAATTATAAATGTAATTAAAAAAAAAACCGAGCAAAGCTCGGTTATCCGGGTACTTAAGTATCATTTTTCATTCGGTCATTAGCCATTAGCCTATTGCTGAACATAGGCCTCTTCCTTAGATTGCCTCCTAATTTTAAGATTTTGCCATAGTTGCCACGCTTGGCATATCAACTAGATGTAGGTATTTTCCCCAGAATATTGATTATGTTATCTTGCCCTCATGATGCTTCCGATCATTAGTTTCTTGGGCTCTGGTTCCGCAT